GCATGTATAGTTTCATTTCGACGAAACTTCTTCTCGGCGATTGGAGCTCCGCTGGTCCTGGCGGGACAAGACAAGGCCAGGGCCGGCGCTAGGCTGGTGCTGGTTGGATTGGGGAGGGCTTCAATGACAGTGACCACTGTCATAGTAACCCTCCCCAATCCAAGAGAAGGAGATGGGGCCGGGCCCACCAAGGGCTCCGAGTCCCAGTCGACATCGCAGGCGATGCAACTCGCCTCGATTCTGCTCAGCAAATCCCGAGCAGCGAGCACGCGACTGCAACTCGGACCTTGCCATCGTTCGGAAAGATAAAATTGGGAGCGCACTTCACGCAGAAGATCCATTGGATTTGATCTTTCACGAAGCGCGCGGTCCACCCTGCATCGCACCCACTGCACTAACCGTGGCAGATACGGCTACCTGATGCACAAATGTAAAAAAAACCTCTCCAGTCGAGTGCGACTGTGGTCACCCAGAACAGACCGTACAACGCGTGATGACGCAATGCTCGATCCCCAAATACGAGGGAGACATCGCAGCGGCGATGCCGCTTCTCCGCCGGCTCCTGACGCGGTTATCTGTGGCTAGCGACCGCATGAATGTGAAATAACAGTCGTTGGCTCTTCATCTGCATCAGCAGCCGTGCGAAACGAGAAAACGTGGAAGCTGCACGGGGGCCACGATCAAGCAAAGCAAATTTCGCATTCGGGCACACGAGAGTTGGACGATGTCAGGGACGTGATTAATTATGCAGGTTTTTAGGTTTTAGACCAAAAGCAGGTGGACTGATTCACTCTTCTGGAAAAAAAATATCCCATTAATTCTGGATTTAATAATTACCAGCGAAACGTCACGATACTAAAATTGTAAATGTTGTGGATTTACTCTCCAACACACCGGTGGCATGAAGTAGTACACCACACTACACAGTACACTATACACTACACTATACACGACACTATACACTATACTAGTGACTAATTGGCGTTTTGTTTACATGACAAATCCCTTACTAAATGGCTGTGTCTGGTGGTGGAGGGTTACGACACAATTCACACTTACGCGATATAATCCAAAAACCTTGATTATGTTGTTATTATGTCCGTCGCTATCCATGCTCTTGGCGAGTCATATGCGAACCGCTCCTGGTCCTCCCCTGGCTCGACTCAGCCGTAATGAGTGCGTGGGGCGGTGCGTTGGACATCACCACGAGGGAGACAAAGGCGGCCATACGAAACCAGTAGTAAATAAAAAGGAAGAAACGGAACCTGCTGGCCTGCCTACGATCCATCCTGGGTTTAACCAGGCTGGATTTTGTGAGGAGCTCAAAAATCCTTGAATAATCTGAGCAAGGTCCCATCGGTGAGCTCCTCCGGCAGGCAAGGCTGCGTTGGCTGGGTCATGTAGCCCGCATGCCCAGCCACCGCATGCCGAAACAGCTTTTCTTCGGCCGGATCGAGGGGGCTAAACGGGCGTGGCACGGGCTAGAGAAGAAATGGAGTGATGTGGTACAGGAGGACGTGGAGCTGAGTGGACTTGCCGATGACTGGTACCAGCGGTGTCAAGATCGGCCTCTGTGGAGGAGGCTCGTGAAGGACGCTACTGGGCGGTTGGAGGCAGTCGCCCTCCAACAACAACGGAGGGCGGAGGAGCGACGCTCACAACGAGCGGAGCGCCGGGTGGCTAAAGCACAGCAGGTTGGCACAGTAGGGGGCACAGGTGGTGCATCAGCCAGCCATCTCAGTCGACCCGTGGCACCTGGGTCTGCCCCGTGACCTCCTGCCAGCGGGCGTTCGACACTTCACGTGGCCTCAAGGTGCACATGGCCTGGCACAAGCGTCGTGGTGACGTCACCACCACTTCGTGGCGAATGGCGGTTGTTGTATCTGGTTGTGTGTATGTCTTGCTATGTGTGTGCGTGTGTGTATATCTGGCTGTGTGTATGTCTGGCTGTGTGTGTGCGTGTGTGTATGTCTGGCTGTGTGTGTGTATGTCTGGCTGTGTGTGTGCGTGTGTGTATCTCTGGCTGTGTGTGTGTATGTTTGGCTGTGTGTGTGTACGTCTGGCTGTGTGTGTGCGTGTGTGTTTGTCTTGTCTGGGGGGAGCGATAGTGTAGTGGTTAGCGCGCTGCGCTATGAACCCGGCGACCCGGGTTCGATTCCAGCTCACGGCCAACACCGGTGACGATTATCTGAACCGGGCATGGACCTCCCCTAGCTCGACTCAGCCTCAAATGAGTACCTGGTGCGGTGTGTAAACATTGCCACTAGGGAGACAAAGGCGGTCGGGCGTGGTGCTGGCCACCCACCCCCTCGTGTACCGTTCCAGCCTTCTTAGGTACTTGCTAACAACACTTGCCCCTACAGTCTAAGGCTATATGGGGGATCTTTGTTCTTGTCTGGCTGATATGCCCACTTTTTCTTACCCAATTTCGTGGAGCTCTCATTTGTCACAGGCTTACCTCTGCAAAAGAAGAGAGACTGTGTCAGTGCGCTTTATCTGATGAAATTAAATTAGTTGTTTTTCTGATTTGTTTACTTTTGCTATACTTTGCACTCCTATTGTGTTTTCTGTATTGTTTGTTGTAACTTTCTGTCCTAGCCCAACTGGACATATGTGAAAAAGAGCTTTAAAGCTCATCGGATTCCTCCAGTATAAATACATATTCCGATTCAATGCTCGCGAAACGTGGCCGACTCAAAAGGCACATCTGCGTCGGTTTGAAACATTCAGGCAAGCCTCCGCTACGATCCATCCTTGGTTTAACCAGGCTGGATTGCGTTAGCTCACATATCCTTAAAAGATCTGGACACAGTCCAATCGGTGAGTTCCTCCGGCAGGCAAAAGCTGCGTTGGCTCGCTCATGTAGGGCGCATGCCCAGCCACCGCATGGCCAAGCGGCTTCTGTTTGGCCGGATAGAGGGGGCTAAGCGTGCGCGGCACGGGCTCGAGAAGAAATGGAACGATGTGGTACGGGAGAATGTTGAGCTGAGTGGACTTGCCGTTTGCTGGTACTATACTAGCGGTGTCAAGATCGCCCTTCAGCAACAGCGGAGGGCAGATGAGCGACGCTCACAACGGGCAGAGCGCCTGGGGGTTAAAACGCAGAAAGTTGGCACAGATGGGAGCACAGGTGGTACATCTGCCAGCGATCTCGGACAGTAAACCCATGGCAGCTGGGCAATGGCGGATCCAGGATTTTCAGGTAGGGGGGCAACCCCTCCAGCAATGAAAAATGATAGAGGAGTTGTTAGTAAGTAAGGAGTTGTTAGTAAGTAAGGAGTTGTTAGTAAGTAAGGAGTTGTTAGTAAGTAAGGACTTGTCCCTTGCTTTTTATTCGACGCGTGTGCGGCGATGGCACAGCCATCGATCGAGGGTTGAATTCGAACCGCGTTGTGTGATCGGCATCGCGCTCGCTGAAGGTGATTGCCTTCAGGGAAGTCGTGGACTCTGTATACACGCAACTGCGCACAATTCTGTGAGTCACTTATAACCGCTTTGCCGTTACTTATTGCCAATTATGGACTCAGACTATTGTCCTATCATCTCATAGAGTCCCTGGCCACGTAATAATATGCTACACAGTGGCAGTGGGGGTCGCAAAATGCCGATTTATTACTAATAAACCCCCATTATCCGATCGAAATTAGGGATTTCGATCGGATCATTGGGGGGGGGGGGGGCACGTGCCACCCCCCCCACACTGGCTCCGCCAGTGCATCTGAGTGTGTCCCGTGACTTCCTACCATAGAGCCTTCGACACTTTACGTGGCCTCGAAGAGCACCTAGCCTGGCACAAGCACCGTGGTCACGTTACCGCCACGGCGAATGGCAACTGTTGTTATTATATCCGTCGCTATCCATGCTCTTGGCGAGTCATATGCGAACCGCTCCTGGTCCACCCCTCGGTCGACTCAGCCTTAATGAGTACGTGGGGCGGTGTGTTGAAGATCAGCACGAGGGAGACAAAGGCGGCCGGCCGTTGTGTTGGCCACATCACTCCCTAATAGGTGCGCCGTGCAGGCCTTCATAGGTACTAGCCAACAGCTCTTGTCCCACCAGCCCGTTAAGGCTACAGGGGGGATCTTTATCTGCGCAGTTGCTCCGTCCGTTCGTTCCCACCACTCCACTTGTCTCGTCCCCCCCCCCGCCTCTCACTCACCGCCTAGAAATGTCGCTGGGCCGGTCCGATCCCAGCCGGTCTTCCATATCGCCGTGACTGTTTTCATAACTGTCTGTCTATGTGACCGACTGTCTGACTGTCTGTGCGACTGTCTGTCTGTCTGAGTCACGACTGGCCGTGTGTTGCGCTACCTCCGAGCCACCAGCCACAGGATCCGGACTTCCTCCATCCAGCCATTCCTGACTCAACTCGGGACAATGGACAATGGCCAAGGTCTAAAGGGTTGGAGGGGGGGGGGGGCTGACCCACGGAGGGATCAGGATCGTGTGCGGTCGCAGATGTCCCCTCCACGACACTTCAGGACCTGAGCTCGAGTCTCCAACGAAGTCGGGATTCTATGGGGGGGGACCCGAAATCTCGTGCCCCTCAATGACTGCCCCCCGCCCCCCTAAGTCGTGTGCTGGACAGGCACTCAAGTTCAAGCTGAAGAGGCTGCGTGGTCATTGCCGCCGATGGCATCGCAGCCAGGTCCTGCAGATGCTGCACGGGCGATGCCCGGCGAACGAGGAGGCCCCGACAGCCTCACCCCCACTGAGGCTGTGGTAATGAGTGTCTGCCCCTCCCTCCCTCCCTCCCCCCTAAATGCATCGAGTAGTGCCCCCTAAGTGGGGATCGGAGGTGGGAGGGAGGGGTCCGCTGCGCCACTTCGCCAAATGTGTAAAGTTCGGTTCGAGCGGCTCCATCTCTCCCCCTCCCCATGCCGCTCCTTGCACCCCCCCCCCCAAACTCCATCCCATCCCTCCCACCCTTCCCCCTCCCTCTATTCAGTTTTCTCCCACCCCAACCCCTTCATCTCCTCCCTCGCTCTCTCTCTCTCTCCCTCCCTCCCTCGCTCCCCTTCGACTACCACCGCGCCATCCCTCGCTCGCGCTCTCCCTCGCGGTGGTGGAGGCGCGCGTAGTCGGCAGTGAACGGACCAACGCGAACCTCGCGCCGAGGCTCCTGGTAACCGAGGCTCACTTCCACCCGGGATAAATTCCGCAGGGAGAGAACTTCTGGGCGCTGCACCGACTGCGACGATGGCCGTTCAGCTGCTGGTGAACACGTGCGTGGCGTTTCTCATCGTCTCGCTCGCAGGTGAGGAGGGCACAGAGCGGCACAGGCGTGAGAGACCGTGGTATGCAGAGCCGTGCAGGTGCGCAGGCGTGAGAGTTCGTGGCGTGTACAGGTGTGCGCGCGCGCGCGTGCGTGTGTGTGTGTGTACAGGTGTGGGGGGGGGGGAGGTAGTGTAGCAGTTAGCGCTACGCTGCGCAACGAACCCGGCGACCCGGGTTCGATTCCAGCTCACGGCCAACACCGGTGACGATTATCTGAACCGGGCATGGACCTCCCCTAGCTCGACTCAGCCTCAAATGAGTACCTGGCGCGGTGTGTAGTAAACATAGCCACTGGAGAGACAAAGGCGGCCGGGCGTGGTGCTGGCCACCCACGAGAAATGAAGTGGTTGGCGATGGTGGTGGTGACGGTGCGTGGAATAGCGGTTGATGTAAAGTGACACGAGTGTATTGATGGTGGCGGTGAACATGCGGAGTTGGGGACAGGGAAGGCGGCGTCAGCACGAGTGGGGAGGACAGCGAGGGGAGAAGTGAGGGTGCTCAATGGAGAATAAACACGTGGGGGTTTAAGAGAAGATTGGAAGGCAGTGCGAGTTGGTGATTGTTTTTTTGACGTGCAATGACAGTCGATTCCAGGGAACGGGGGGCGAGGAGAGAGACAGCGAAACCCCTTGCACCTCGCCCCAACCCGCACTCACCAGCTGAGTGAAGTATGGGGCCATCCATTTAGTACGTACGCATGGAGGGGGGGTTAACCCAAATGCGTACGCTTGCGTATGGGGTGTCTACTGACAATGTTCGTACGCATAGGAAACGGGGGAGGGGGGGGGGGGTGAAGCCTCGATAATAATTTGTCTACATTGGCCTTCAAATGAGTTAGATAGTCCGGCGGTGGACTATCTGTTTGCTTAAACACGTTAATATTATTAATCCTTGATGGTTGCTGCGTGGATTAAATATCGGCCCTTCTATAGGATTTGGGGGGGGGGGGTGCGTCAGGCGTACGTACGCAGGTGGGGGGGCGGGGTGTAAAAAGTACGCGTCCGTACAGGGATGGGGGGGGGGAGGGGTCTGGTTTTGACAGATTTTTGCTGACCTACTCAATGGATGGCCCCTATGGTCGACAGTCGCCGCGACCGACGTGCACTGGAAGGCCACCGTCGGGAATCCGTATGACTTTCATGTTCAGTGTACTCATCGTGAGCCACGGCCTCGTCCACTGCTGGATGAATATCTTCCACGAGCCATCGCCAGCCTACACAGCTCTGCGAAGCCACAATCCAGCTGACTCCAGCGCATGAGCGAGCCCATGTCCATCATATCGGCCTCTGCGGCCGTCTGGAACGCTCTTCCTTTCGATAGTAGGAAGCCACTGGAGCTATGCACTTTTAAATTATCTAGATTGAAAACTAATTTCTTCAAGAAATGTCTTTCGTGTTTAGTTTGTTGTCCTTTCCCCCGCATCTCCGATTAGCACGGTTGGCGACGTACGGTGCGAAAGAAGTTCTACACACACACACATACACACATCACTCCATCCCTGCTCTGTGGTGATGCGACGACCCAGCTTTGTGCTTTGTCCCCTGACCCATGCCCTCCTCTTCCACTCCCTCCGCGTCGTTTGCGAGCACGCATCTCTTTCACGCCGCTCTGCACACCACGCACACACACAAAACACTCTTTCAGCTTTCGTTGCGTTTGATTTGTCCACGTGTTCAAAGCAAACCCACAGGACCCAGACACGCCTACGCTAATTAGTCAGAGGCCACTTAACACGGACGGTGTCAAGAGTCAGACATTGCTTGTTACTTGGTTCCCCGTGCAAACACAATGCCTGGGGGTGCCTCGTTAAGCTCCACTGGAGCTTCGATCACTCGTAAAGCATCGCGGCCAGCCTCCAACTCATTCTCAACTAGAAACTATTTTTAATTATCTTACCACTGAGCTACGGTAAGTTCTTTTTCAGAAGCGACCTCGCCACAAATGTTAAGTTCAACGAAGTGGCTGATCGTCACGTGTGAATTTATAGCAGCGATAGTGTTAACGTCTCGCCACCGTGGCGCTCCGTTCATAGCGGCGTGGAATCGCATCTGCAGCTGTAGCTCCGTGCACCTAAAGCGGCTCTTTTACGAGTTGCAAGTTCAGGGCTGGTGGGACGCGTGTGTGATTCTACAGCCTCCTCTCCCCTCCACGGAAATATTATGTTGTTATTTAGATAGTTGTTCAGCTTTGTTTACCCACGAAAACCTCACCGACTTTTTTCAGGAGGGTCCTGCCAAGTTTTCGCAGTAGGTGGCCGATGGTTAATGTGTGAATTCCCTGATTGAGTAATTTGCGGTGTCAATTTTCAAATATAGGCAAATGTGGATCATGGCGCCGACCCTACTCTTGTGAATTCCATCACGTGATCTTTAACGTTCACCGTTAAGCAGACGGTGCGTAGTATTATCATTACTGCGGTTAATACACTCACCACAGGATTAACCAGGGCAGTACCGTATTCGAACCGCGAACCCCTGCAACAAGGGGGCGAACGCGCTACCGTGGGGTGCCGACAACGGTTGTCGCTGGCCCCATCGTGACGATTTACTGTCTAGCGGCGGCGATGCCGTGCCCACTTCCACGACTGCCGAGAGCTTCTTCAGCACTTGGGAGCGAACGGCGCAGCAGTGGCGAGCGACCCCGCCGTGCAATCCAACAGCGCGCCGGAGCGCCGTGGACACCCAGAGAGGCGGTGTCCTTCTCCGGGTGCCCATGTCAGCCGGCAGGTGCGGCTGGCATAAGTGAAGCGACTCCTTGCCAGTCTTGCGATCGGATCGTGTTTGAATTGGCTAAGCCTGCCGACCCTGGCATTAACGAAATGGTGGTTTGGCTAGAGGACTAGTGGCCAGCTCCAATATTTAGGGCTTACAGGAGGGCAGTTGTCATTGGCGCAGTCAGTCTCAAAGTCAAGTGAAATTGTGGCTGTTTGCCAGAATGTGTGACATGTAGCCGCAGGGCCGCTGGCACCACAGCACTGAAGAATGCCACTGGCCACAGCCGGCTGCCAGCGCGAGTAAACATTGATGGGTCAGTGGGTCACCCTTGTACGGAACGGCGATGTTTCCTTCCTCCGTCACTTCAGATGCACGATCGCTGATGGTCGATCTGGGGGGGAGGGGGGGGGGTGTATGCCGAGACTTGGCCCACAACCTCTGTGTGGGTGTTTTTTTAACCTTTAATTGGAATGTTTATGTCGGACGCGTTGTACACCTGTGGGAATCTTGATGCAAATCGGTGGCTCACCTGCATCCTTTAAAACAAAACGCACAAAGTCGTGTTCGCGCAACGGAAGCTGGACAAAGCTTTAAGTCGATGCAATTGTGTTACTCTTGAGATGCTGGAGTTTGGTTCGAGTTTGGTAACGGTTTGACAGAGCTCGCATTCACTCGGGTGGAACAGTGTGTCCGCGCATGCCTGATTATGTACGGTCCGGTGAAGTCGTGCACGATGCCTCGGGAGATTACGCGACGCAGGGGGTCGTCCCGTGGCGCAAGGGGCCGTGCCCGGGACGCAGGGGGCCGTTCCGCGGCCCCGCTGCGACAAGGCCTCAACAATCCGGGCTTGGCCTCGCGTGGCACCACACGCCAGACGCGGCGGGGGGAACCTACGGCCGAGGCGGGAGACTAAAACCCCCGGGGAGTTTTGAGAGGCGATGCCCTCCTATCCAACATCAACGTCGTTCTCGTTGCAGGGGTCGGCATCCCATGGCTGCGGAGCCGCATGCATGTAGCTCTTTAAATAACTCATTCGTGACGTTATTCACGTGCATTACGGCTCTTGAAATATTGAGGTTTAAAAAAAATACCCAATTCTCGTTATGATGACAAATAAGAAGAGGTTTTACTCTTTCTGGCAATGAAACAGGTGTTAAGATGTTCAAATACCACACAGATACCTTTTCCAAGGCATCAAGTCTGCATTAACCACACGTACTTGTGGTGAACATGCAAACACACATGCTTTGATAATATATGGGGCATTGTCTTTGAAACTGATTGGCCTACACCAGAGACAGCCTTCTTTAGGGCCTCGTCTCACCAGTGTCAGAGCCAGAGAACTCCAAAAGGCGGACAGTACAAAAGCAATGCACGTATGAATGTATCCATAGCTCGATTTCAGCAGTTCTATCTATGGGACCTTTTTACCAGTATCCATAATGATGACAAATAAGAATAGATTTCTATTTAAAGCTTTCGTGACTGCGGGGATTCATATTCTTGGTTCTTTCGGTAAAGTCACGTAGAAAGGTAAGAATTCATTTATTATTATTTTATATTTTTCCCTTCTACGTGACTTTACCGAAAGAACCAAAAATAAGAATAGGTTTTACCCTTTATGGCATTAGTGGTTGTCAACCTCTGTTCTCGTGTGACTGACCGGCGGTGAGGCGCGGGTCACGGGGCTCCAGACGTGAGCTCGTGTTATTATGAAGCCACTGGAAGCTCTGCACTTTAAAATCTAGACTGAGAAACTACATTCTTTCGTGACTGATTTTTGTGTTTAGTTTGTTCTCCTTCCCCCCGGCACCTCCTATTATCACGGTTGGCTACGTACGGTGCGAAAGACGTTCAACATACAATCGTACAAGGTTGGGGCACGGCGAGGTTGGCAGTCAATTCTGCTGCTCAGTTTAACACGTAGTAGGCTTTCGCGACCGATATTATGCACAACAGATGTTGTTGGCTTAGATCACGTGAATACAAATGTGTCGTTGAACCTGCCACCACCCGACACAGTCAATTCGGACCATTTGTCACGTAAGCAAAACGTGGCCAATTCGTTACTAGCACAGCACACCGGTGTGTTGGAGAGTAAACCCACAACATTTGCAATTCGTGTACGACGTTTCGCCAGCAATTGCAGCTAGCATCATCAGGTGACAGCGAGAGACGTGGAGAAATCCACCTCGCTTCGGTGTGGACTAGAGGGATGAACGTGATGTCGTCACAAGTGCTGTGGCGAACGGGTGGGTGGTGGGAT